AGATTAAGATATTATATTATTGATCCGATGTAAAATCCCCAGCCGGGAAGAAAAAAAATCCCTAGATTTCGCTAAAAATCATTTAATACCCAGATTTGCTCAAATATCCGTCGAAAAATCCCTAGATTTTTACAAAAACCGCCATTTTCAACGTAGTTACCTATATGACATCATTCGATATGTCAATTTGCAGTATTTAAATCTGATTGGCTTGTTGGAATTTTTCGCCTTATGAAAGCAGTGAGCAGACCAATAAAATGAAGGATTTTTTTTTCTTTCTTTTTTTTTCTTTTTGGGTGAACTGTCAATTCCATCGAATGACGCTATCGTTAAATATTCCGGCTTATCATCGGGTAAACATAGTGGTGCCAATAAGCCCTACAAAATATAGATGAAAAAATAAATTCTACTAAGTCCAAGGTAAAATTAAGGGTAAAAGAGTCTATTTTTACTTACTTTTACCTCATCAAAATAATCTCTAGTTTGTCTGAAGAATCCGTAAAACCCTACAATTTCTGGAAAATCCCTGGCCCTAGATACCCGAGAAAAAATGGATCATTCAAGCTCATTGAAAAATGAACGATCCGGATCATTCAATTTGAATGAGTTTTTCGTCAGCTCATTCAAATTTGATTGATCCAGATCGTTCACTTGATCATTGAATTTTAATGCGCCCGAATGAGCTTGAATGATCCGGATCATTGGATTTCAATGAGCTTGAATGATCCGGATCATTGGATTTCAATGAGCTTGAATGATCCGGATCATTGGATTTCAANGGATTTCAACGAGCTTGAATGATCCGGATCATTGGATTTCAACGAGCTTGAATGATCCGGATCATTGGATTCCAACGAGCTTGAATGATCCTGATCATTGGATTCCAACGAGCTTGAATAATCCTGATCATTGAATTTCAACGAGCTTGAATGATCCTGATCGTTGAATCCCAACCAGCTTGAATGATCCTGATCGTTGCATTTCAACGAGCTTGAATGATCCTGATCGTTGAATCCAAACCAGCTTGAATGATCTTGATCGTTGAATTCCAATGAGTCAAGGTCTCGGTCTGATGAGAATCTGTTATAAAAAATTGTAAACAGTATAGAAGCAAAAGTACATGGGTATCCATTCTCACTGCTTTGCAGTTTTTCTTCAACAGAAAAATGAAGGGGGAAAAAAAAAACATATGATGATAGAAAAAGTTAAAAAAACACAGGCTCACCAGAAGTTTCGTCCAATTCCTCGTGAAGTAAGCTCATCCTCCGCCCTATTACAGTAATAGCGTGAATGTACCTTTAATAAAAGTAGTTTGAAGGTGAAAATTTTTGCTACAAACCATCTCCCCCACGCTGTCAAGAATGCAAACCACAAAACAGTCATGATGGGAGAGGCTCGTAGCTTTGCCGCCGAGTTGCAAAGCTGCCGCGGGGATACTTTCCATCAACAACTGAAAAATTTAACTAAAAAGAAACATATTAAATTAACAGCATAACCAGACAAATGTTGAATTGAAGAATGAACCGCGCGTTTAGAATTGCATGAGTGACATCGCTGTTACTCTGTTAAGAAAGCAGCAAAAATTACATAGGGATACAAGGATATGTAATTGATTTTGTCTTTGAAATAATTAAATTACTTAGATTGTGCTTTGAATTGAAGCAAGCCAATAGGTACTTACAATTTTGTGCTTGAGTGTTTGTTCAAATGAAGTGTCAACGATGGAGACCATATTATTGGAGTAAAAATGTATCTTCAGAACACAAAGCACTGCATTTGATGGCTGGAGCACAACTCACAGGTATAAGGTAAGATCATACTGATAATTTGTTAAACGGTCTAGGGAAAATAAAGCGAGAAAATTTAAAGCAACACAGAAGAAAAATCTGAGCGGCGACACGCTAATGATACGCAGGCAGTAAGACTAATCGTAGTCCTAGACTGATCAGATCAGACCAACGCGAGCCCCGCGAGCCCTCGGCCGCGTAGGTTTGGGGTGGAATTTCCAAATCTTCCCTTGCTCAACGGCATCTTCCTTTGTTTTCCTCACGCAGCAAACTGCAGAGTGGCCAGTGACGGGAGGCGGGGAAGTAACGGCGTTGCCACATTGCTTAAATATTCTTCCATCCTCCTGTCTTAAGGGTTGCTACGATTACGTCACTTTCTTGTCTCTATTTTTTATATTATCATGTAAGGCTCATTTTTTTTATTGTCATGAGACTAACGAATTTACCGGAAAAGCTAGTGTGAGGGAAACCCTTCTTTTCTCGATAATTAAAATCCTCTGCTCTGTAATTTCTCTTCTATACTGCTTTGAATTCTATCTCTTGTTATTTCCCTAGACTGTTTAACAAGTTATAAGTATGAACTTACCTTATACTTGTGAGTCGTGTTCCAGCCATCAAATGCACTGCTTTGTGTGTTCCGAAGACACAATTTTATTCCGATAAAATTTTCTCCATTGATGACACTTCATTAGAACGAACACTCGAGCACAAAATTGTAAGTACGTTCGGCCTTGTTTCAATTCAAAGCACAATCTAAGGTAATTTAATTATTTCAAAGACAAAATCAATTACATATCCTTGTATCCCAGTGTAATTTTTGCTGCTTTCTTTCTTTAAAATCAAAGTAACGGCGACATTGCTCGTGTA